TAAGAGCCTAGGCAGCGTCGAGGCGCAAGGAATCACATGCCTTACGTTACACCTAAGCCTAGATTCAGTATCTAGAGCGAAACTGAACACCAGCTCCGATCAGATGTTTAATGATTCACCATGGGTCATTCAAACGGCGGTTCAGGTTTATTCTTGTGAAAGGTTAGAGAGAAAGAAGAATGCTAACCGCCATATTGAGAAACAATCACACATCTATTGACATCTATCGGATGAACTCTCAACTGTAGATGCAGACTGCACACTCACGAGTGCGTCCCTTGCGAGCCCCCCAAGCCTGGGCGGACTTCATCTCAGACGTTGTGACCTCCATTTCCATCAGGAGGCTCTCAACCACCAAGTTCATGCGCGAAAAAAAGTCAGGTAAATGAATCGAAAATGATTTAATAATTAAAATGACGGGGTGCGAGCGGAGATGGCTCCAGACAGTGAAATTGTCATCTTGGGCCTCTAATCTTCGTTAAACCGCATCTCTGTGCTCACCACCATCTGGCCCAGTTTGTGCCTTCGAGTCGCAAACGCGAGTCACCCGGTCCTGTGGCTCAACGAGCAACTGGAGAAACGCGGCCGTTGAACGAAATTCTCGTGCATTCCGCTCGGATTCAGACGTTAGCGATTAGCCGAAGCGAGAGCAATTACGGCGACCGCAACAGCACGGCGTCGTTAAGGAACAAAAAAAAAAAAAAAAGAAAAAAAGACGAAAAAAAAAAAACAAGAAAAAACCACAGCAGATTTTTTTCTTTCGAGATGATGGAAAATGTCACGCAGTCGGCGCGATTTTTCTATTAAGCTTGTCCAACGAGATATTCCGCATTGTACCATAATTTTATTATTCGTTTTTGCCTTTCTGACAAGAAAAGAAAATGGAAACTCAGAATTTTCCACGTTTTCGTAGAAAATTCGCAAGGGAATTGAGGTCGCTTCATTACATTTCAGCGCACGTTTCGACACTTTTCATCACTTTTTTTTTCCCACGAAGCATGCGAGGACATCCATGCGATCGTGTTTCGTTTTCATCACGCTTTAGCATACTTTCCTGTGGCTGGGAACTTCTTTTTTCGGGCAATTTCAATCGCATTCGGAATATTACATTCCGCGATCGACCAGGGAAGACTCGAGCCCTCCCAGTCCCCCCTCAAAAATAAATAAATAAAATAATAATATAGTAAAATTCCAGCCTATCTGACCAAAATCAGGTAATCCCGTCCTCCCTTCGTGTCCCTCGACCCCACTCAGCGATCTAAAGGATCGGCTTTATAAGGATAAAGGCTTATCGCCCCAGTTGAGAGCGTCAGGATTCCTTTAAAGACCGGTCCGCTTGCCCCCAGTAATGACGGGGTTGGCTTGAAAGCCCTCACGGGAAGGTCCACGTTCTCGTGTAGGGAAGCAGGTCGACAGGACATGTATTTTAAATAAATGTAACACATGATAATAAAATATTACTATTATTATTATTATTAAACATAATTACAATAATAATGATATAAATATTACATCCTGTCTTTTAGCTTTGGCATCCCTAAGTGGACCAGAACTAATCCAAGGGACAGAGACACCGCCACCCTGCCACCCCCCAACCACCCCTCAACCACCCCCCAACCACCCCCCAACCACCCCAAGCCATCAGCTCAGCGCTCGTGGCTCTCTCGCGTCATCGGGGGTCGATCGAGCCTCTCGCGTCTGCACGACCGAATGGCCTGCACCCTGCAGGCCATTCGAGTCTGAGGACCCGAAGCTTTTTCCGTCGTGAGCTCACACGGAACAAAGCTTTCTTATCGAAGGCTGCAGAGCGAATAGAATCCTCGTCTCTGCAAACGTCACGACGACTGGAAGCACGTTTCACGGTGGATCGATCGCCGGCCTCTGTCGACACAAAGAGAGTCCAGCGAGCCCATTTGCAGGGCCGAGTTTCTTCCGAAATCGAAAGGAACTCCGTCTCTCCCCGATTCTCGGCCGTGCCCGGCCTGTCGGGACGGTGTCGTCGGTACTCGAGAGTACTTATGGGTACTCTCGAGTACCGACGAACCGTCTTCGGGGAAGATCTGGATTCCACCGGAGTCTCCTTCTCACCTATCGAGACGCCAACGTCATGCGACCGATCTTTTACATCAGTCGTCGTACCAACGCTCTGCGCGTGCTTCATTACCACCTGATATCGGATCGACAAAGATAAAAATATCAAACGGTAATACGGTCTTCGGTCTCTTTGATCCCTGCAGAAGAAGAGTCAACGGTATAGAGTCCAAATATTGAAATATTTTGTAACTATGCTCACTCCACATTATTTGATGTCGAAGGAAATCTTAGTGATGGAATTCTCCAGCCCATCTCTCGCAAGGAGGAGAAAATCCCGAGACCTATCGGTCGAGCTTCGAATGTCGCGGCCGCTTTCGCAGCGCGGACGACGGTCGCGGCGACGGCGGAAGATCTGGCGGGTCGGACGCGCCGTGCAGACGGCTGAGCCATCTATCGGCGCCTCGTGGAACCGGTTTCATCCTGGGTGCCCGTTTCCGTCGTGTGTCGCTGATGCCTCGCGGGGAGGGTGTGTTCAGGATGAAACAGGGGAACTGGGGCATTCTAACAATGACACCATGACCATGAATAATTAACAAATATGAAGTTCGGTTGCGACGCCGTTCGTGATGGATCGAGGGAACCACGTCGACACGGTTCATTTAGACTCGGGGCAAGCGATACGGTTCCTCGAAAGAGATAACGGGCTGCATCGGGTACGTAGGGGGCTCGGGGTCGTGCGATTAGCCGGATTGATAACCGGTTGTCGGGCGGGGGATAATCCTTGGAAATGGGAAAGCCTCTTCATTTGTTGGGGTCGCGAAGGGCGACCCCGGTGAAGCCGGTGACCCCGGAGTCTCCGCATCCGGATCTGTTTCTCGTTTAGATTAAGTCCGAGGGATTAGATTAGAAAAAAGTTTGCGTCGATACAATGGTGATGATTATCGTCCACAAAATCTAATATCAAACATACATTTTTATTATGATACATTTTCATTATTACACATGAATTTTTTTTTTGAACGCGTGATCAATCCATGAGGAGCAGGACAGCTACCTTTGCCGAAAACTAGAGGTCAGAGGTCATACAAATGAGCTGTATATCATCAAATTAAAATCGAGAAATCCCCAACGTATGATCAGCTCGATATCAGGACAGATACGAAATTCAGGTCAGAAGTATTAAATCCAATAGTGCATTGCAATAAAAGTTTGCGAAAAAAATTCAGCTCTGACGAACTAGAGGAACACACGGAGTTCGGAAAAAAAATGGCACCCGAGATGAAAATGCAAAAAGCCACCCGAGTGATTGTATCGAATTATACATTTATATAAATTTATACATATCAGATTATTATATACATTCAACTTGGAGACGTCGAGACGCATTCATGCCAGAATATGGCTAATAGTAATCCATATTTATGGGTAAATTGCCACCAATTATTCAAGTAATATGACCGATTTTTCGTTTCCACTCATCGAGAATAAAACGATGGAAGACGCAAAGCATCGCTCGATTGGAAGCACTACTTTAAATTTATACAAATATTCTTTTTCTACCTCCATTATGAAGGGAAGAAGGACTCTGTCCAGCCATGAACTCATCTCAATGCAATGCTTGAAAAGACTTCGAGAGGGTGGGGGCGATGGGGGTGGGGGCCATGGGGGTGGGGGCCATGGGGGTGGGAGCGATGGGTGGTTCAGGGGGGTGGATTGAGGGGAGGTAATCCTGATCCTCTCCACCCCCTGGAAAAGGAGTGAAAGTGGATAGGAGGGAGATAAGACGAAAAACGTTACATGACCTCAGAGCGATTGTTATTTGAGAAAAAAATTCCAAGAAGTGTTCAGAGAGTGCAATCATCTCGTCCTGCAGCACGGTCACCGTCAAAAGATTTCCTGCGATGGATTGGTCATACGATTAATTTTTTAAAGGAATGTGCTGAAGTTGGATTTTATTTTCAATAACGTTTATTTTTCATAACATTGCAGTGGAGTTGAACAAATTACGGGACATCAACAGCACTAAATGTCGCAAAAATGAATGCGTCTTGAATCTGACGTGAAAATAAAGAGATGGCACTTTACTGGCAAACCTTTGCCAAATCTGGGGGGTTTTATTTCCGAGTGACATTTTTCCGAAACCCGGAAAACGCATGGACTCTGACAGTAAAACATAAATGAAAATCGGAGATATCACACTTGTGCCCTTTCAATCGAGGTAGAGGGACTAAAATTCGATTGCAACGGACAATCGCAATCGAATTCCATTTAGGCATCGTTGATCCTTTTCTCTCGAATTTTTTTTGCATCAGGCGATAAAGGAAAGAATGAGCACTTCCCACCGACCGAAGAGAACAGACTTCTGCTGCGTGTATTAGCGTCCAGAAATTGCCGAACTCGGTTGGGTTATAATGGGTTAGGGACTTTGATAAATGGAGCTGTCAGGACTTTTTCGACTCGATGCCAACTGAAAAAAAAAACCAGGAGCCATAACAAAGAGGAGACGTAGCATCGGGGCGACGCTTCTGCAAAAAACAGTCAGAAAGGGTACAAATGCCTCTGAACCCGAACTTTGAACAAGCGGAAATCGAGTTAAAACCCTATTTGACATGGGTTAAACCGTTCTGGTGCACCTTAACTTATCAGGAGGGGATTGACCGTCTTCCGACTTTGAGGCATTGCGATGCAGAGGAGAGACATGCATGCCCATGATCGGGATGGAACGAGAATTTCACATCCAGAGCACAAGTTAGAAGTCAATTTTCGCTGCTTTTCGCTTGAGTCAGACATTTTCCCACTCGACTCAGACACTCATATATGAGGGACATCCCATGCATACGTGTCCCAGTCGCGTGAAAAGATCGTCTAAATTGAAAATGTTCAAGTCCCGACATCGGGCGAAGAACGCTCACGATTCTGCTCATGCGCTCGAGCAGCCAATGGAAAGGGAAAGAAGCCGAGGGATGGCGTTCGCCTGGCGACCATCTGTGTCCCACGCGTCGTCTGCTCGCGCTTCGTTGTGTGCCGTGCTGTAACGTCAGAGGCTGTCCGTCGGCAAGTTTGAGGATGCCGAAGATTCGGACGAAGAGCAGGAAACCGCCCCCCGAGGGGTGGGAATTGATCGAACCCACTCTCGAGGAATTGGAGCAGAAAATGAGGGAAGGTTTGTTCACCTTTCTTTCATCGCTCACGATCGTTAAAATATATTTTAGGCGTCGGACAGCATTTCACGCAGTTTAGGCACCGATGCAATTGATGCTTTTGTTTCAGAAATGAATCTGGACAGTAAAAACACCTGGCCTACCGTTGCATTTGTAATGGACTCCATCGACCCCACATTTAACTTGTTTAAGTGTTTTCACTTGAGTAGACTAAAGCCTTGAGTTAGGCAATTTGTAATATTGACTCAAATGAGTCAAATGACAAGTGTGTGACTCAAGTTGAAAAAGCTGCAGCTTTTTTACATTTAACAAGTGAACTTCTCATGAGGGACTCATGACCAAAGTGTTTAGGGCCTATGCCAGTGTTAAAGTCTGCACATGAAAACAAGAATGGAGGAAGAAGTGAATGGAAGAACTTGTAGCCCAAAGTAGACCTCCACGGGTACTGATTACATTCATTTGAAGATGAGCGAATTCACATTGAGAAACAGAATATCCAACACTAGCTTACAAGCTAGCAGCCTGATTGATAACAACATCACTTTTGCCATAGGTGAATCAAGCCATGCTTACTGATTTTTGCTTTTGCTTCCAGCTGAGACGGAACCCCATGAGGGGAAACGGAAGGTGGAGAGCCTTTGGCCCATTTTCAAGATCCACCACCAGAAGTCAAGATACATATTTGACCTTTTTTACAAGAGGAGAGCTATCAGCAGAGGTATAATTTTTTATTTAGTTTTCCACATCACTAGTTTTAAGGCTTTTATCCAGGAAGCCTTCAGAAATCAACTTTAAATTGTACACAGGTCTGCTAGGAATGTGAATTCATACATTTGATCATGATCTAAGGAAACAGGCCTACAAGGCATGTATCTTACTATACAGTGCTGAGGGGTTTAAGCAACCTTGTTACTCCCTATTTTGAATAGTAAAAGCGAAATTAATGTGTCTTTTCAGTGCTCTCTGCACTTTCTCAAACAAGTGTAGTTTCTTCTTTTCCTCTGATTGCCTAATTTCAAGTGTTGTGATGGTAACTTATCCAGTTCTACCAAATCTGGATAAAAACAGCTCTCTGTGAATACCAGAATGTTATTACTCATGGAAACAAATGATAGCAGCCTTTCATGGGAAAGGTAGGTGCTGGGGAGGCACAGAGAGAAGTGAGATTTTTTATTATTATAAACAAAGAATATCATCTTTGGAACCATTTGTACATTTAATGTCCACTAATGATAATGGATTTTCTAGTTTTTTTTTCTGTCTGGTTGTTGTTTACTTGTACAGGGTGGGTAAAATTAAAACACCTTTGTCCAATGTTGAAGTACTTCAGGCAATGGTCTCTTCTAGAATAGTCATATAGTCATGACTGGTCCAGCATCAATTTGATGAGCCCACTGGTACTCTAATACAGTGTTTTTCACTTGAGTTAGACATTTTTTCACTTGACTTTGACAACGGTGCATGGTGAGGGTGATATAGCGGATCGACGCAGAAACTAGGAGTTCCATACTTAAGTGTAGATGTTGTGATGACATTGGCGACGATGATGATTAATTTCCTGCTGAAGAGAGGAAAATCAATATGAACCTTCCCTAATACATAATATATTGAAATTATAATTTAATGTCATAGTGAAAAACTAGGCTTTCGTGTCACTCATTACTTTTTTCCTTAATATTTCAATAAAACAGATAAAGTTTTGGGCATTGTTCCTGAGTTCTGAAGTATCATTCCCCATGCCGAACTCACGTAGGGCAGATTAGGCCTATCTGACGTGGATCTGGGATTGTCCATCAAAGTGCGATCCAGTATCCACTGGGTTTCTACATTGTTGAGCTGATGGGAAGTTGAAAACTTTGAGCCTTTTTTTTAATTATAAATAGACTGCAAGGAAGGTCTCACGTTGACAACATGGCTAAGTATGAGGTTCATTGTTTCCAGTTCATAGTTTGATTCATATGAAAAAGCCTAAATATTCGAAGGAAAGAAAGATGTCACTAGTCACCAGGGGCACCTGCGCCCTCGCCTCCTCTCTGAATGCATCAGTGTCTTAGTCAAGGGGTGAAAAATTGTCTAACTGAAGTGAAAAACACTGTAGAGGTAGGCTTGAAGGAAAACATCTCCAGTTGGCCTACATGCCTTAGGCTGTGGTGCTCTTTAGTCTTTCCTGATAACTAAATAAGACGGTAGGCTAAACTGAAGTATTAGGCCCTCATTGAGCCTTCTCATTCAAAACTGTTCTTTGAATACTCCCCTGGGCAGAACTCTATGAATACTGCTTGAGAGAAGCCATTGCAGACAAGAATCTGATTGCAAAGTGGAAGAAGCAAGGATATGAAAATCTTTGTTGTCTTCGTTGCATCCAAACCAGAGATACCAACTTTGGCACCAACTGCATATGCCGGGTCCCAAAGGCCAAGTTGGAGGAAGTGAGTTTTGGAAAGTTTCTTGTTGCTATCCAGGATGGCTGATGCTTCCAACCTATGATGTTGAATCTGTAAATGTTACTTCTGGTGTCCCAAGCTGATACAATGTTCTGGTGTATTGCAACAGGGGAAGATCGTGGAGTGCGTTCATTGTGGGTGCAGAGGGTGCTCTGGATGATGCTGACACAAAGTAAAAGAAGCTTGCTTTCCTGTACCTGAATTTCCTAGACCCTATCAGTTATCATTGTCATCATTCTGAAGAGTGAAGCAACATGGAGGAAGAAGCAAGAGTACTACTTGCACTGTTTTGACTCCTTATGTGTATGGTGGATGTCAGGGACTCATTCAGACTAATAAATTCCAATGAAGCCTTTCATATCTCTGGATATCTAAGACAAATGAACAATATGAATAGGATGAAACCATATATGTATTCACACTAGACATGGGTAGAAGTAAATCCTTCTTTTGATTCCTCTTATGTGGTGGAACTAAAGGAAAAAACTAGCAAAATTTTTACTGTGAGAAGACAGGAGTCACGAGTTGCAAGGAAACGTTTTTAGTCATTTCCCTTTGACAAGGGCATCTGTAAACAGGACAGGAGCCATGTAATCCTTCAAGCCTCTTGGATAATTTCAGTTCAGGTTGTGCTTGATGCACCACTTGACTATGAAGCTAAAATTTCAGTTTGGGCACAGTTTTAAGTGAAGTGCTTTCCTGTGCAAGTGCAACAGTGATTTTGGCAAGCCTATGGGTATAAAGAAAAACTTGAACTAATGTGCTATTAACTTTAAACTGTTCACCCTATGTTCTGCCACTTAGCAGGTCATGGCTGCTTCTGTGTTGGTCAGTTTGGCAAGAATGGATTACATTTCATTCAGATCAAGAGTGTTCTTATGTCCATAGAATTGCTAAACCACAGCTGCTTATGTGCAGGAAAGTACCTCACTTCAAACTCTGCTCCAACCTCAAATCCTTACTTTGCTAATCAAACAGTACACACCCTGAACTTTATGGATCTGTGTGTTCATTGACCTCCTTTGTGCAATTCTCCATTTTCTGAAGTAGCTGAGAAAAACCAAATTGTAGCTATGTCTTGCACATAGAGGGTGTTCATAAAGTGAATATGGACAACTTTGTCATTGCATCTGAGGTAACCATTTATGCTTGTTGACTGTGTATCTGCAGACTGGTGAATCAATCTTTTGCAGATTTTCCATGTTTCTGTAGACCTTGGAATGATGTCCTCCCTCCTATATTGTGTGACTGGGAATTATTCTGACCCTTGTTTGGGTTGAAGCAGATATGGTGCTGCAGGACCTCCTTTCTTAATAATTCTCACTCACAAAAAAGTTGCAGGCAAAAAGATGTGACTTCCTTCTGAGACCTATGGGTATCATGTTTACACACAAAGTGAATGGTTACTTCAGACTCAAAAATACTTTATGATAATATTATAGGCTAGGCACAATTTGAGGCTTTCATATTTCAAAATTTCAGGTGCTCCATTAAGTTTAAATGATACCAGCTAAATCTCAGTAAAGAAAATGCCTAACTTAACCTTAACCTTCACACAAAAGATATGTATTTCTTGGAAGTAAGTTGTCAGTTGTTAAAAATAAAAAAGGTTGCTAAATTGCTTAAGAACCCATATCATATGATAAACCCAAGGTGATGCCTAATGAAAGGACAGTTTCACTGAAAAATGAAATTCGAATTGTATAGCATAAAATAATTTACCACTTGAGGGGCAAGAAAGCTACAACCTTTGGCTTCCAGTCTCCACTTTTAAGTTTTCTTTGCATTTACCATAAATGCAAGATGAAGAAAAAGAGGACATATGTGTCTGCAGAAGTACTGATGGTTTATGTTACTGTCTCAATTTTGTCCATCCTTCAATGTACAACTCAAAATGGTTATTTTCTTGAAGCAAGTTGTGAGAGGTGTGATTGTTTTTCCTCAATGGGATGGCATGGAAGACACAATGAAGTGATACATAGAAATATCTTGAAGAAAATCCCTATTTGACACCTGCATGAGAAAATAAATGAATGCACCGATTATTTTTTGCATTGCCAGCCAACATAGTAAAGTAATAATACAAATATGCAAGTCCAGAGCAGATACCAGGAGTCCTATATTCCAGTATTCACCACCACAGGGATTTTAGAAATTTTGTAAGTCTATTCCGTCCCTCTTAAGACTTGAAACTTTTAAGTAATGAGAGCATCACAGGAATAGATAATTCAATTTTTAGTAGGCCTCCTTTCCTGAAAGAAAAGAGGTCTCTCATGTTCTCGTCCTGTTCGTCCGTGTGTCACATTTTGGTTGTCTGACAGTAACTAAAAAAATATTGGCAAAATATGAAGAAGCATTGCTTCACTCTGGGAATATGACAGACACCTTACACACTGAGATGCTACATTGCCAGCCAAACTCTCATTCAAGATGCTAGTTGGATGAGGACTGACACAGCACTGCCAAACAGTCTAACAGTCCACGGATTGAAAATAATTTTTGTCATATTGATAGACTCACAAAAAAATCAGTCCTGGAACTTTATTGTCAAACCTCGTAGATAATTCAAATAAGAATGACATTTTCAGTAATTTTTTTTCTGCCTTACTCTGTACTAATTGCTAATGCATTAACGCAGATGCAAATCTTGCAGCAGTAGGTATTCCAGTGGGAGAAAAGAGGGAGGGTGAAATGTGATGTTTGTCTCCTCCCCTTCCTCTTCAACTACCTGGAATATATGTTGCTACTATTTTTGCTTAAATTTTTTCATGTTCCATGAAGATATGTCACTCCAGGCTGGAATATTAAAAACCTGGCATGAAGGAAACTCATATTGTCTGATTCAGATGCGTTCCAAAGCCCTCTCTTGAGATACAATTTTTAAAGAGAAATAATTCACTGTGCCATTGCTACTCACTAAAAGGCAATTTTTCTGCTGCCAGACAAGCCACTACCATCTGGAATCCATATAGTCTGCATTGCCTCTTTGAAAAGATAGCATGCAGAAGGTAAGAGGATGTGAGATGATAGAGTGAATCTTGTCTTCCTTCTGCAATTTTCATATTGCTCTTGAGCAGTATGCATGATGAATACTGTAACTCCTGACCTGGAATCCTGGTCAGGAAATTTTATGGTTCTCATCTTGCCATTTGAATTTTTTACTAAGGAAATACATCTTGTTCACTTGAAACTAGAGATTTTGTGGATCTTTTAACTTGAGCATGCATAGACCCAGAGAAAATCAATATAAGAGCCATCAATTGCCCTATTTTTGACTCCCTGGAGCAATAACTTATTTATACAGAACTCATGATAGGATACATCATAGGATAGGATACATATGTGGGAAAAGCATTTACAGTAGATTGCAGCCAGCAAAAATGAATTATTCAATTTCTACAGGTGTTTTTAAAGCTATGATCTACTTGGCTATTGTTCTTATACCTGATCATCTTTCATGTCTACAAAAGCTGTTGAACCAGAGTACGTCAATCAGGGTCCTGAGCTATGGTAAAGGCTGTCTCAAATTATTATCACGCATAGGGTTTTGGCTCTAATTCCTTTAATCCTTAAGCAATTCGGTTCACATTTGAAACAAAGCATATACAAACTACACCTAAAGATTGTACAATGCTTGACTGAATCGCTCAACCGGAACTGGAAATACAGTGGAAACCGGTTAAGTGCACACCGCATAAGTGCACAAATCGGATAACTGCACAAATTCTCCATGCCCTGAATTTTTGCCCTATGTTTTGTACATAATCTAAACCCGGCTAAGTGCACATGTTTTGTAAGCCCGGTGTGCAACTTCTGTATGGAATCGTACACAGATAAGCGCACAAGGAGATGGCCCCGCCCAAATGTCACTCAAAGTGTCATTCTATAGCAGTTAAATTTAGTACTGCGGATTTGTTTTTAGTCTATGCCCCAGGGAGGCGTAGCCTATGGCCCAGAGCGGAATTGCCTTGTAGGCCGCGCGCATTAGCCAAACGGAATACGTATTCCGGGACCCGCAGGACTAGGGTTAGCTGGCACTTTATTGTGTAGGTTTTGAGTGAATCTGTGCGTTCTGTCTGAACGGACTGTCGTATGAGAGAGGGAGAACCCATGTCAGCCCCGAAAAGAAAACTCACATCTCTAAGCATTGATCAGAAACTCGAAATTCTGAATTCTCTACAGTCGAAAATTAAAACAAGGAAAGAATTGTCAGTGCAGTATGGATGCGATTTGTCAACGATTGCACGCATTGTGCAGCAGGAACAGAAAATTAGAAATGTCGCTATTGAAAATGGAAACACTGCAAGGAAGCGATTGCGCAAAGGAAACTATGAAGAACTCGATCGGGCTGTTGCCGTGTGGTTTTGGCAGATGAGGGCAAAGGACGCTATCATTAGCGGCCCAATGATTCTGGAAGAAGCGAAGAAGTTTGCACTAAAGCTGGACATTCTCGATTTCGAACCGAGCAATGGCTGGTTGGGACGATGGAAGACAAAAGAAAATGTCACCTTTCACAAATTGCAAGGTGAGAAGGGTGCAGCTGAATGGATAAGGAATATGCTGCCCACTCTGTTGGCTGACTACGATCCCGAGGACGTCTACAATGCAGACGAGTCTGGTCTGTTCTACAAGGCGCTTCCCAGTGGGACGTTGGCTGCTAAAAGTGAGGAGCCAGAAGGTGGAAAAATACAAAAGGATCGCCTGACCACGCTCTTTCTATGCAATATGGATGGATCAGATAAGCACGTGTTCGTCATCGGCCGATCAAAGCAGCCGCACTGCTTCCGAGAAAAGAAAATTCCACTGCCGTATTACGCTAAAATCTTGGATGACTGGTGCCTTGTGGACGAAAATTTTGCTGGATTTTGACAGCAAAATGATTAAGCAGAAGAGAAAAGTCCTTTTGTTCGCCGACAACGCGGCTTGTCACAAGTTGGAGGAAGGAATCATACTGAAGAATGTGAAAATTCAGTTTCTCCCAGCGAACACAACGTCTGTTATCCAACCACTCGATCAAGGAATCATCCGTACATTCAAGGTCTATTATCGACAGCAAATCGTGCGAAAACAGCTACTTGCCCTCGAAAAAGGTCTCTCTTTGCCGCAGTTTGCGAAAACAGTTAATGTTTTGGAAGCGCTGAACATGGTCAAACGGTCTTGGTGGTTAGTGACCCCAACCACCATTCGAAATTGCTTCCGAAAGGCAGGATTTTCAAAGGCAGAGGAAGAAGAATCAGAAGTTGACGAAGCAGTGGTGCAATTGCAAATTCCAGAGAACGAATTCAATGATTTCGTTGAATGCGATACAAATTTGGACTGCTACGGCGAGTTGACAGCCGAAGAAATTCTGGAAGTCCGTCAACAGAGAAACGATCATGACGAGGAAGAAGAAGCACAGCAGCAAGTGCTGCCACCCCCGCCCAGTCGCAAGGATGCACTGGCCGCTCTGGCCGTCCTCCGTGCTTGTTTTGAGCACAAAAATGTTGATCTGAACAACGTGGATGCACTGGAGGATCAATTTTGTGATCTGTCTTCTGAAAACTTTGTCCAGAAAAAGATTTCCGATTATTTCAAATGATGTTTTGTTTAGTGACAATAAATGTTTTCTATAACTAATCAATAGCTATTTGAGCAAAAATTGAACCAGGATTAATGTATTTAAGCAAAACCCGGATAAGTGCACAAACCGCATAAGTGCACAAAATTTTCTTGCCGGGTCGATGTGCACTTAACCGGTTTCCACTGTACATGAAAATGACACCTCAAAAAGTGTCTCAATATAATATCACGGCCTGATGCTGCCCCAGAAATGTGACTAATACTTCGTTTTGCCCTCTCCTTTCGAGATGAGATCGTACACACGGTCTCTCATGGATCCGATGAGGGGTCTTGAGACGATCGGTGCTCACTTCCTCCCAGGCCTCGAAAACCGCGTCACTTATTGGAGTTGTTGCATCCGTTGATGATCGCGAGGTCAGCCTTCCCGCCATATCCGAAGGCTCCCCAAACCATCAGAGACCCGCCGCCGTAGACTCGCTGAGAGTAGTACTCAGTTCTAGCCTTCGGATACGGCGGGAAGGCTGACCTCGTGATCATCAACGGTCGCGACAACTCGAATAAGTACCAGGAACTCGTAGGACCTCAGTTGGAAGCGTTTGGGGAGCGGATCGGAGGCGGAAACTGTATCTTCCAACAAGACAATGCGAGGTTCCATGTCTCAAAGTCCAGCCGGAGCTTCTTTTCGGGAAAAAGAGTGATCCTTCTTGAATGGCCCGCTCTTAGTCCCGACTTGAGCCCCATGGAGAACCTTTCGGGAGACCTTGTCCGCTCCGTTTATGCGAACGGACGCCAGTTCGCAACTGTTGCCGAACTCTGTGACGCGGTTTTCGAGGCCTGGGAGGAAGTGAGCGCCGATTGTCTCAAGACCCCTCATCGGATCCACGAGAGACCGTGTATACGATCTCATCTCGAAAGGAGAGGGCAAAATGAAGTATTAGTCACATTTCTGGGGCAGCAGCAGGCCGTGATATTATATTGAGACATTTTTTGAGGTGTCATTTTCATGTATTTCCGGTTCTGGTTCCGCGATTCAGTCAGGCATTGTACAATCTTTAGGTGTAGTCTGTATATGCTTTGTTTCAAATGTGAACCGAATTGCTTAAGGATTAAAGGAATTAGAGCCAAAACCCTATGCGTGATTGTAATTTGAGACAGACTTTACAATGGCTAAATGTGGCACTGAGAAAGTACTGTGCCAGGTTCTCCAGCTTCAATCTTGTTTGCCTCAAGCTACTCACAAAATGAGCGGGTATTGGCTAATTTGTGCCATTGGGAGAAGGTGACCTCTATTGCTTCATAGGATATGCAATGAACAGGCCTGCCTCCCAATGCCAAATTGGGATAAGTCCTCCAGACAACTACAAAGCGGTATCCATGAATAGAGGAATGCAGTAAAAATATACACATGACATTAACACTTTCTGACAAGGTCATATGATTCAAGTCATGAGAGGTATTTATTGAATGACTAGAACATATGGGATGAATCAGAAAAGGATAATGAGAAATTTGAGGGCATATGACAAAAGGCTACAAGTTTTGAACAGGGATGGACACTTGTGTATGCATGAATCACATACTCTGTCTGAGTCAAAAATAACACCAAATGAAAAACATTCTTTACCTTCTGTTTTCTGTTTATGGAAAAAATATTAATATATTAGCTGATATTTTGTCTTCCTCATAGAGTTTCCAAGTGGGAACAATTACCACACACACTATATTTAAGGAAGTTCCATATCTAAGAAACAGGGTACCCATATCTAGGTTACTGCATCCTGGAAATTCTGAAGTGCTATAAGGTATGTTTTTTGCTTCCCATTATCAAAGGAAAAAAAAAGTCCAAAATTGTATCTCTCTAGAATATGATTCATACCTAAAAAAAATTTAGTGCTTCTTGGTCCAGATTCTAGAGTGGGATCCCATCACACCTCATAATCTATGTGTTTGCCCAAAGATCAAGATGAAAGATTGATAACTGAAAAGATGTGGTAGGTAGAGTCTGATCTGAGTTCTAGCTGCCAGGTGAGTCTGGCTTTTTTTAGAAACAATAATTTTACTAAAACATCTACCTTGCAATGTCACAGGATTTCTTGACAACAGTTACTTAGTCTCCTTAATATGGAATTAATTATAATATGCTGGTGTGATTATTGTCCTCACTATACAACATTAACTAAATGAGGACCTCCAGAAACATCTTCCCAACTATACTGTTCTCTTTTTTTTCACCCACAAGAGAAAGAAAGTTCCATTTGGTGCGTGACTCTTGATTCAGACTTAAGTATTAACAGCCATTCGCTTTCCACTGATGAAAGAATTCACAAAATGCATTTGCATTATGATGGCTGATGTGTGTTACACCATACAATGATGGAAATCTCCATACCCATTGAGATTCCTACAATCATAATAGGCTGCATGTGCACCTGGAGCAAACACTGTTGCAAATAATCCATAGACTTCACAGAGACAGACAACATGGAATATTAAAAGTCACTTCCCTATTGAATCAGGCCAATAGTTCACATGGTAGCGCTTTGTTGTCCCTTCAAAGAGCCGATCAAGCCAGTTTGGCAATGCATCCAGAAGATGTTCAATGAAGAGAATATCGCTTTCATACTGATCAAAAATTCTCTCAGTTTCCTTCTGCTGAGATGGAGCTTCTACATCTTCATCTGATGACTGACTATCTTCAAATCCCATGAAAGCACCAGACCCTTTCTGATTAAAGCCATGGTCTCGATACTTGGCATGATACATGCAAAAGTATTTCCGATGCCCATTCAGTGACAGAACAGTGCCAAGAACATTCTTGGGGTTGATGTTTAGGTCCACACCATCCAATTCTGGTATGGCCAAGTAAAGCAATTTCTTGAACCAATCCAAACCCCTGTCCACGTGAAGATAGGCAAACATAAGGGTTTTGTTCTTCCGATATGGCCACATTGCACGATGAAACTTCAAGAGTAAGGGCTTCATAGAGCTCTTATCAAGGATGATGACAAGAGTGCGACAACCGGGCTTTAAAAGCCGTATAAGACCATTATATGTCTCACCACGAAGCTCATGGATCTTCAACTGTGGTTCTGGAGGAGGTTTTGGCTTACTACCTGTAGCTGAATTACTGTTTTCTGCTCTACGCTTCTGTATGGATTCCTCTTCCATTCGCATGAGGTATGACATAAAATATCCAATCACAATGATGAAAATAACTGTGCCAAACACAGACAAAGCTGGGATGAGATCTTCTTTGGCCACACTTTCCTGCAGGGTATCCCAAGCCAGAAGAAACTTGGTCATGATCTTCCCTGTTAGACTAGGAGCATGCTCATCAAGGAGATGGTCAATCTTGACTTCATATAAGAGGACCTCTTCAGCTTGAAGCAGTCGATGAATGGTCTTTTCTAGTTCTGACTTGGATAGGTTGGCTCTCTCAGTAGCCACATCCCATGAAATGGATAGCCACTCATATTTTACAACCAGATCTTCCTTTCTCCATATGATAACAACTTTTAGGTTAGGATCTCCAATATTTCCAGGATTTTCAATCAGGGTAGTGACAAAGGGTTCCTGTTTATTGACAAGGAGATATAGAAATTTGACCCTTTTTGAATAATCATGGTTAAGAGCAAATTCCCGCATCATGGTACGATATGGTTCGTGTTCTGTCTTGTCACTGGTTAGTAGAACTACACATAGGTGTTTCCGGTATCGGGATGCTTCCGCAGGGCACATGGTGTCAAACAACTGCTGGTTGGATAGTCTAGGAAGTATCAAGTACTGGTTACTCTCAATCATGCTCCTCAATGTATTCACTGGTATTTCTGACATGCTCAGACTAGCAACTGGTCGCTCGGTAATCTCATTGAACAAAAGCACAGTATCACCATATCCTTCAACTCCATATTTGTCCATGATCCTCTTACCCTCTTCAGTGGCCACCTTCACATATCCAAATGCAGCTCTCTCCTGGTACTGATGTGCAATCACCGTGTACCTTAGCCTAGGATTTGGCAACTTTGCAAAGATGATAATTCTCACACGATTATCTGTCCAGCCTTGAAGGAATGGGGAGATTGTATCTTCATTCAGAGTTTCTATAAGATTAGCATGAAACCTTCGTTTGACAAACTCCATCACTTTTGCGGAACTCAGCATGTTCTCTTTGTACACCCAGCTTTGGCCATCAATGGTAACAACAATCCCAGGTAGACTTGAAATACCAATTTTCTTGGCTATTGCTCGCTCATGCCCTGCGTGCATTGTAGCAGTGCCAATCCCAATGAATGACATTTCTTCATCAATTTTCCTCCAAACTGGTTCAGCATGGACACAAGAAAAGCACATGTCTGAATAAAATAAGATGACATATGGCTTCTTATAACTCTCAGGTTTAATATGATTCTCAAAATGTTTTCCAGTGATGGTCATCTTGTGATACAGTGAGTCACCATTTTGGAAAAAATTGAATCCTTTTCCAGCAAACCCAAAAAAATCTTCAAACTCATCAAAGGCAAATCTATGAAATTTAGAGTAGTCAGGACGCTCATCAAGATTTGATGTATCTTCTGTAATACCATGGTCATCAAATTTCTTTCTCCTTGCGGGATCAGATAACAATTCATAAGCCTTTGTGATCTCAACAAACTTGCTCTCAGCTTCTGGATCATTGTTTTTATCAGGGTGCCATTCCTTTGCAAGCTGCTTGTAAGCTTTTCTTATTTCTTGTATATCAGCTTTCCTACGAACTCCAAGCACATCATATGGATTCTTGAAGCCATGGATTGTTGGAAGGAGAGTAAGGGTGCAAATGAGTAGTATTCCTGTTCCTCCCCACATTTTTCTCATAGCTTCTGCCAGTCACTGTCACATTTATGGCACTTGACTAGCTGTTTTCTTGGATGAAACCAACAGTTCAAATATAATTCACTGGGATGTTGCATTACCATATAAAGCACCTAAGAAAGAATAGAGAAGATTGAGTAACATAACTGTTACACATCAAAATCCAAAACTAATGGGGTCTTACTCCTGAACTTTAATTTTTCTTTCTTAATTCCTCTTAAAAAACCCATTCAGCTTACTGTTCCTTCTAAGGCCATCAATTAGCAAACACATGGGGAGGGATCCTTGCAATAAATTATTTTTCAATAAGTGCATTCAACTTCATAACATCATCAATCAGAGAAGAAATGACTCAGACTCATATTTTTCAATATAAGAGCAAATGTCAACCTAAGTCATGTAAGCAGATCAGATGACATAAAGGGATTTTCTATCAATTGTATCCTCTCTACCCCCTTCTGAATGGTATCACATGTCATAAAACTGAGTGACATCTGCTGTCTCAAAAGATCTACTCTTGGATAAATCAGTGACTGAAGTGGGAAATAAATCAATTCTGCTTCTGCCATAGTAGTGAGGATGCAATTCAAGATAGTTAGTGATATTAAGAGGCGATTTCGCCCATTTTAATATCACATGTCGAGGTCGAGCATTCCTTAATTTTAGGGTAGGCCTAACCCTCTTAAAGCTAAATATATATATATATATATTTTGACTATCCTAGTTGCTTACTGCCTAGTACCTAACGTCAACATTGCCCCCCACCTTTTTGCCTAAATCGCCCCTCCTTAACCTTCGCTCGAGCGAGAACAGTCCCAACACTTCTAAATGCTTCTCATATGATAGTCCCCTGACCTCCTTAATCATTCTTGTGACCCTCCTCTGTATTCCCTAGAGTGCCAACAAATCGCCCTTATTTGTAGGCCTCCGAAACTGGATGCAATATTCCAGCTGAGGTCTTATCAGCGCTGCATACAATGGAAGAATAACGCAAGATGTCCTACTTGCAACCAACCAATGAATGTAACCTAGAATCCTGTTGCGTTTGGCCACTGTTGCCTGTGTGTGCGAGCAATCAATTGAAAAACACTGTAATGTGCTGACAGCTCTACTATAATGGTATTTCTACATCATGTACACACTGGGGGCACACACCCATCCAAGGCATCCATACTTTAGATTACTCTAGATAAAAATTTATATTCTAACCTGCACAGGTTACACATTTATCAAAAAGATTGCTGACTAATACTTCACAAATAATTTTCCCTAGGCATACCACAACCACCGACTGAGCATCCAAGAAAGTGGTAGAACACTATCACAGCCTGAGTGGCAGTTCAAGCCGATTGGATGTCAATTTTTGTCCATGGCCCAAGGCAGGCTCACGAGTTTATTCTGATGACTCCAACACCCATGATGTCGGAGTTAGTGTCATCTAAAAAGACTTAAGACTCAAGCGGAAAGTGCAGACATTTACGAGTGAAATTGTTTCTATCATTCCACGATTGCTTCCCACAAGCATTATGAAAAATAAAGATTATATCGAGCGGCATGCCGAGACAAGCAATTGAATACTTTCTCATGCTGTTGGCGCATGGTCCGCATGTGCTCCGCCATGCTTATCCAACATGAAGGCACCAATAGCTGTGACTCCATCCAATATCTCCATCCCTCCTCCCTCCCAGCATGCTATGAGGAAACCACTTGCCGACAATATGCCGCTGAAGGATTCTGAAGGATCGCGGACGATTGTTCTATGCCTAGCGAGTCCAGGAGTCCGTAGTTACAGTCGGCTCTTTTCGGCTTTCGGCTCTAGCTTCTCCAAGGAAAAAACTCAGGATCATGGCCCCCTCCGTTTGTTCAGGTGACGAGCACGTGCAGCAACTGCCACCACCTCCCATGCCATGAGCATGTGGGCATCGCGTCCCATCAGTCGTCGCCATGACACGCTGGATGCCTCAGTTCTACTGTTCTGCTAGGCCAAGGTTTTAGGGCCTACTGGTGTTGCAACAAGGGTCTGACATTCAAGACGGACTAAGCTCCAATTCGCCGCAACACTTAATATTGTACACTGATTTCAAAGGCTAAAATTTAGAATATACTAGGCTAAGCTAGACTTGATTGGCTGCCTGTCACATTGGTCGTGGTTTCGTTACTTTGATAGGTATATATTTCTCAGTACAATAACCCATCCTTGTACAGTGGGATGGCTGAGGCTATTAGAGAGGGAAGGGGAGATGCTGCAGATGAAGAAGAGGAAGAGGTAAAGTCCTTACTCTATCATCTTTGTACATATGATTTTCTTGTGTAAGCCAGAACTGCCAAATATTTTTTCCAGGTGAGTTGAAGACTCTAGCATGGGTCAGGAACCTATGGCTTATGAGCCACATTTGGCTCACAAGTGAAAAGTTTGGCTCATTGAGTCATGGCTAAAAATTATGGTTGTTTCTCATTCTCATGTATCAAAGAATACACATGTCTGTTTCTAACTTCAGGAAAAATTCTGTTCTGAATATTCTTTGGTCACAATCACCTACCTCAATCTTAATATAGCTCACATGGCCAAAAAGGTTCTTGATCCCTGGCAGGACACTTGGACCATGAATTTTCTTTGATGGTGTTGCATTTAGGTGAACTAACCTCTCTTGATAAAGATACACTGTTTTTGGATTGAATCTGACCACCTTGGGTAGTATGGAATGAAGAAAGCACTACTTTCAGAGGATCTGCATCAATAGAGAGTTCATAAAACCACTCATGAGAAGATGTCTCTACCTGTAATAGATGGAAGTGCTTCTGCAAGGGAGTACTCATTCAATCCAAAAACAGTGCAATCTGAAGGATATTGGAAGAATTGGGAGAGAAAAATGGTAGAGCACTATAAAAGGTCTAATCCATACACCAAAACACCTAATGCCAGAGGGAAGTTCTGCCTAATGTTTAGTGAGGGATTCTCTAAGAGCCTGAAGGGGTGAGCCACTAGAATAGATCTGGACTATCCTCATCCTATGCCAAGCTATTGTTTTTTGGAGCCCACGAAGTTTCCTTCCTTTTCCATTTCCTCTCATGCCTGGAATTGAGTATCTCAATTCTTACATCAGTACCTAAATTCCATCAATTTATTTTCATTTACCAATTCTTGATAGTACTCATTCAAAAGTTGACTGTGGGCCTTTCTTGTTTCATGGAAAATATTTTGACCTGCATCTTGTAACATGAGGTACTAAATAAAGCACCATGCAGACCTACTTTCTTAATTTGAAGATCTTTTGCATTTAGCAGAAAGTCTCATGACATAATAGCTCTACTAGAATGCAAGTCTGCATTGAGCATAAATCCTTTCAGAATAGTTACAGCATTAACCTGAGCACTCACAATCATAAATCTAGGATTTAGTAAATAGTTGAAGTAGCAGTAACATTTTGAATACTTATGGAATTCTTATATTGATCATATTATCACCTGCAGGCTTGAACAGTTTTCCTTTCTTCATGTACATCAATATATGCATGCAGTTACTGATTGATGGTGATAACCTGGCTTACCTTTTGTGAGAAGTCTACCTTACAAGGATTTTGCAATCCATACAAATGGAAATATAAAAGTGAAATGCACATTCAGTGCATCTTTTTGGGATGGGTGGTGAATGTGCATGTGGTTTTGATCTATATGCTACAGTAGATCATGATCACTGGTTATCTCGATCAGCCAGATAAAGGCAATCAAAACCAAAGCCCACATTTCATATACATTTTTCTCTTCTTTATATTATCAGTCACTGGATGTTATGATCAAACTTTGTGACTGCTCTATCTCAGTGCTCACTGAGTTCCATGGAAGAGAGGAAAAGGGTAGGAAGACTTTGGTTTATATTGAGAGTCTATTCTAGCTGGCTGCAAAGAGAGTGAGATGGAAACAGCCTTGATTAGAATAAAAATCTGTGGTGAAAAAAAAAAAATTTAAAAACATGGAGATTAAAAACAAAGGTCCAGTAACTTCAACCTGCACTCAGATTGTTTTAGATGTCTACTTTCCCAATACATGTGGTTGGTAATGAAATATACTGGATTTTGAGTTTTTATTTGTTGTTATCTATTGTTATCATCCCCTTAATGTTGTCAATTATCCTTCCATTGATGTGATCATGATAATCAGCACCCACTCTTATGTTATAGCATTCCAAAAAGAACTGAGTATTCTTTTGACCTATCTGAGTGGATATACCCTTTTTTCCCCTATTTTTGCTTGGAATATTTTGCCATGGTCATTACATATTTCATATTGAAGAAACGTTCTGTTCACTCATGATTTACTATCTAACACATCAGGACTTTGGCTGGAGTCTTGACAAGATGATAAGTGAAGGATGGCTCAGTCCATCCTGCCCACTGCTTCTTAACAAGTCAGTTTCTTTTGGAATGCTAAATCCAAAAATGATAATGAAACAGCCATGACTGACTGGCATTAACTCAAGGTGCATTCAGAGACTAAGTTGCAAAAATACCCTTTAGGAGGACGAGACCCTTGGAGAGAGGCTCTGGGGCCTCATGGAAATGCTGCCCGATTCACTAAAGCACGGAATCGAAGGAACCGCAAAGTTTTCCTTCAATACAGTCGTGAAGGTATTATCCACAACCAAGCAAGGCATGTGGGTATTTTTCAGCACAGCTGCGATTCTTCTAGTCCCTGTCATGTTTGAAATTGAAAGAGCACAGCTGACCGAATCCCAGAAGCAGCAGCAACGCCAGGTACGTCTTATATGTTGGTGTCTTGGTGTTTTGTGAAAATTGCAGATGTAATGATTTTTTTTAAGATTGAGATGGGAAAAATGCTGTACATGAGAGGGATGAGTACCTTTAGGTTACTTACTTTTTTTGAAGAACTAGTAAAATAAATTATTGAATTATTTTACCTTATAGTGCCTTCATTGCAAATATTATATGTATGGAAACAGTTCCTTTTTGATGTTCTGTTGTTGCTCAAGCCATAAAAATGACAGTAAATGCTTTTCATTTGCAGTGCTATAATTTCTTGCATCATGTAATTGATACTTGCACCTCAAGAACTCTTTTGCCTCTCCAGATGCTGCTGGGTCCAAGCGCAGCCGTGTCCGGGAGCGGTCATGGGGGCCTCCCCATGGGAATGGCCTTGCTCCCTCCTCCGCCGCCGGCTTCTCCATGAACGGGATATGATATGGGAAAATTTTTGCCCAGTGGAAAGCATGATGGTGCCATCTGGTGTTAGTCTGAATTAATAAATTTTATACCTTCTTCCTGTCCACTTCATCTTTTCGCTTCCTCCTTTATTATTCTGAGAGTCCATATCAGACCTTACCTACCGCCATATGACGTATTACACCAGTGGTACTCAATATTTTTTACTTGGGGGCCACATACCTCACTCCCGCAGCCATCCCGGGTCGTATGCAGTCACTAGTATTGTAGGAGACTATTTTAAGGAAACGTGAGGGCATTTATTGTGGGTTAGGGCCACATTTAAGCACCTAGCAGGCCACGGGCTGGGTACCACTGTGTTATACCATTCCAAGAAAAAACGTCGCGCTCTGCGAGCTTGATTGGATATTGACCTCTCTTTCTTCGTTCATTGCTCGTAATTCCGCGAACCTATCACGACGAATTCCTTATGGTTGAAAGGTCTCTCAGTTCCCCTCTCTTTAGGGTATTATACATGACGACTCGAGTAGAGGAGTTTCGATAGGGCGATCGAGGAAAGATGGAAGAAATCGTCCATCCGTTGCCTCTGCCACTATATATATATATATATATATATATATATATAAATATATAGTGGCATGTCTACCATGTGTACCATGCATTTCTGTCGCNCTTTCAATTTCAAACATGACAGGGACTAGAAGAATCGCAGCTGTGCTGAAAAATACCCACATGCCTTGCTTGGTTGTGGATAATACCTTCACGACTGTATTGAAGGAAAACTTTGCGGTTCCTTCGATTCCGTGCTTTAGTGAATCGGGCAGCATTTCCATGAGGCCCCAGAGCCTCTCTCCAAGGGTCTCGTCCTCCTAAAGGGTATTTTTGCAACTTAGTCTCTGAATGCACCTTGAGTTAATGCCAGTCAGTCATGGCTGTTTCATTATCATTTTTGGATTTAGCATTCCAAAAGAAACTGACTTGTTAAGAAGCAGTGGGCAGGATGGACTGAGCCATCCTTCACTTATCATCTTGTCAAGACTCCAGCCAAAGTCCTGATGTGTTAGATAGTAAATCATGAGTGAACAGAACGTTTCTTCAATATGAAATATGTAATGACCATGGCAAAATATTCCAAGCAAAAATAGGGGAAAAAAGGGGGGGGCAAGGGGGGCAGGGGGGAAATCTTTAAATACGATACCGAACTCTATCGAACGGGAAGAGCGCAATGTTTACTTTTCCTGCCGATGACTGTAACGAAGTATCTCAACTTTTTTGTTCGCAAGAATTCATCCGTACACTATCTCTCTCATCGACCAAAAGCAGAAAAGAGGAAAGGTGGACGAGAGGGGAATGACAGAAAGGACGAAGAACAGTCCTTCATCCCTGTGTGCGATTCACCATGTGTTCCTGATGGGAAGAAAGGGCTGCACCGGGGGAGGGAGAACGCATCAAAGAGGCCTTCGCCCCCCCCCAAGAGGCCTTCCACCCCTACGAGGCCTTCCGCCCCTACGAGGCCTTCCTCCCGGGGAAAAAGGGGGAAGGCGGAATCGATGAGACGAGGGCCATGCGCGGGGGAACCGAAGACTCGTGATCGATGCCTGGGCTTCTTCTCGGTCCCCTCGGCTTCTTCTCGGCCCCCTCGGCTTCGTCTCAGTCCCCTCGCAATCGGGGAAGATGAAGCCCAAGAGGGCTGGGAATCCCAGTCCGAAGGGTCGGAACGTGTACGTGTCCAACACCAACATGCACCGCTGGCAGGAGATCCGCAAGGCTTCGGGCTACCACGCGGAACCGGAGTTCATCGCCTGGCTCCTGGATCAAGCCGAGGCTTCCCTCGGGTCTGTTTCGAGTCTCTTCGTTCCCAATCCTCTGTGAAACGCAAGTTCCGTTTCTCGCACGCCTCGCGCGTCGACGACGCCGAATAAGAGACTAACGCCCCCCGCGAACAGGTGGCAGATGCGGCGCAAACAGGGCCAAGACGACCCCGACGAGGGCCGGGCGAAACGAAAGCGCGACGACGACGAGACCCCCGAAAACGGCCCTTCCCGCCGGAAGACCCGGAAGCCCTCGAAGTCTTCCTCCTCCTCGGACGAAGCGAGCAGCGAAGAAGGCTGGTGGAATCCGAAAGGCCGTGACGAGCGGCCGAGGCGACGCTCTCAGCGGGTCAGGGCGAGGGATCCGTCGGAGCCGGAGGGAACGCCGTCGAGGATGCACGTTCGACGGAGCCCTCGCGTCCATGCCTCCCTGATGGAACCGGAGTCGCCGGGTCTCGACCTCCCGGCGGGGCCGACAGGTAATTCCTCCTTTCGAATCTCGTCGTTTCCGCCTCGCCTCGCTTCCTCCGCGATTACGGCCTCTCCGCAGTCTCCGAAGACGAAGCGAAAGAGGCGGAAAAGCCGAAGCCGAACCGCACCAAGCGAAGCGAATCCAAAGAAGCCAAAGAAGCCAAGGAAGCCAAGGAGCCTCGGCGACCGACCGCGACCGACAGAGACAAGAAGAAGAAAAAGACGAAAGACAAAGGAAACTTCATCGGCATGAGAAAGAAACGAGGCCGAAAGAAACGCAAGACCACCGAAGCCCCCACGACCGTCTCCCTCCCACGGTACGCACCTCCCTCTCTCCACGACCCAAAACGTCCCCAACGAAACCCACCTTAAGCCCAAAACTTAACTTAAGCTCAACTTAACCCAACCCTCCGGATTTCCGTCCCTCCATCGATCGAAATCGACTAACGGCCATAAAACTTTCGTTCGTCCGGGGAATCCCGGCGAAGGCCGGCCACGATCTCCAGATCGTTAACGATTCATTCCTCCTCGGTACGTCACGAGCGCATCCGGAGGATTCTCGAGCGCGACTTCCGCCTGAAGATGGCAGCACTGCGGCGACAGAGCGCATCGCAGCCTCCTCGCAGCCTCGCCGTCCGCCGCGAGACCTGCCCCAGTCGCGGCGGGGGATGGGCGACGCGGCGACCTCCGAGCTGCCTTCCGGTTCCTTTTGAGGTGCGGGTGGAGGCCTTGGGCGGGTCGGACGGGTGGAGGCTTGGGCGGGTCGGACGGGTGGAGGCCTTGGTGGGGGTGGGCCGTCGTTTCTTCGCCGTTTAAGAGAGATTTGTCTTCGCTTTCGGGCGGGTTCGAGGGGAGTGGCCTCTCTGACAGTCGCAGTTAGGCGGTGTGATTCCTGCATGCTCGTTTATGATGTTGGTCATTTCTAGGAAATTACCGAAGCTCACAGTCTGCGTACATAAATGGTAGGGTCGAAGGGCGAGCGAAAAAAGTTGAGGGGGGGGTGGGCCCTCAACTTTTTTTTCGTGAGTAATATTTGGCCATAATCTTGAAACGTTAAATATTTACGCGTTACGATGATGAGAATGTAGAGTAAGACGGGAGAAGTAATCTTGCAAAAACGAATCACCTCCGCTTTTTTTTTCTTGCTGCTGCGCCGACTGAGAATCGAATGGAATATTATAATATAATATAATATACAAAAGAATAATAGAATATTCTACCCCAATCGCTGCGTCGAGTAGCAAAGAAATCGCGAATCTCTTTCGACGATTCGTGACGACACCAGGAATTTCCTGCACGACTCGTCATCAGAATCCGATTCCCTCGGCAATTGTCCAGGAAGTGCCTATCGATTCCCTCGGAACTCCCTGCAGTGAATCCTTTCGTGACCACGAACCAGAGCGAGACGTCCCGGTCCCTTGGCTCCCCCCCCCTTCCCCCTTTCTCCCCCCCTACCCCCCCCCCCCCCCCCCCCCCCCCCCCGCGAGAGGACGCTCTGGGTCCATCGGATATTTTCGTTGCGATGGAGACGAAGAAAGTTTTCGTGACGAGTGGATGCTTCGACCTTTCTCGTCCCCGAAGGACGAAGGCGCTACTTTTCTGAGCAGGAAATCACTCGAGTCAATCTCGTGACGGCAGATAATCCCATTTGAGTCCCACCTCGTTGCCAAGGGGAGGTTCTCGAAGCGAGACCCGCTAAACTCGTTTCGTTTCTGTGCAGCACGGAAACCGACGAAGCCGAGAAGTCGTCGGGCCGAGAGGAGGAGGAAAAGGACGAAAAGGAGTACGAAGACGACGAGAAGGACGACGCCAGAGAGGACGCAAAAGAGGACGAGAAGGAAGACGACGGCATCGAAAAGGACTCGCCCCCATCCCCACCCTCGGACGCGACAAAGCCGAAGCAATGCCGCGACTGCGACACCCGCCACGCCTCCGACCCCCACACCTGCCCCCTCTACAACCCCCACCTCCGCATCCTCGACACCGAACTCCCCGACCCCTCCGTCTTCCCCCGGGACAAGGACGGCCTCTGCTACGCGGAGGCCTCCCTCCCCAAGGCCCTCCGCCTCCAGAAGCTAGGCGAGGGCGAGGGCGTCCTCCACACCGTCTGCGTCCTCGCCGGGACGAAGCTGAGGAAGTTCACGCAGCTGGGTCCGCTGCTGGGTGAAAGGATCCAGGAGGCAGACATCCGAGAGGACTTCCTCATGAAGCACCTCTGGGAGGTAAGTGCAAGACTCTCTCTTTTTTGCTCTTTTTGCTCGTTTCTGAGCCGAAAGATCTGATCGTGGAGTTACTTCTGGCGGTTCATCGAGAAGCGAATGCATGATGTTGAAGCTGGGGAGCTCATCGTTTTCGCAAACGGTGCAGTCACCGAGCGACGATTGCAAGTCGAGAAAAATTATGCACTGAAAATCTGAGACAGAATAGAACTTTAAAAATCGCCTTCGATCTCCCGTGCCCTTCGCTTTAAGGTATATCGACACGTAACGGTTCCCAGGCCGATTCGAGACCAAACGAATTGACTTTCGTGAAAGCTCACCCTTCCCTTGGGATGAATCTTACAAATTTAGACCTGGGACTAGAGGCGTTTCGACACTTCTTCGTCCGTGAGAGCCTTTTCCACACCCACCCACATCCCCCCTTATCCACTCCCACGTCCGACTCCTCCCCAGGTGTTCGCAGAGACGGGAAAATTCTACGTGAGCACGGGAGACCCGAACAAGAGCAACTGGGTCCGTTACGTCCGCCCCGCCATGACCCGCTCCGGGAAGAACCTCCTCGGCGTCGTCAGGGACCAGGAACTCTTCTTCCTCACGACGAAGGACATCGGGGAGGGGGAGGAACTCCGCTATTGGATCGAGGATCCCAACTCCACGCCGCTCAAGAAGAAGAAGCTCGACAAGGCCTGTAAGCTGCGCGGTTCCGGTGCGAATCTCGGGGTCACTTATTTTATTATTTATTTTATTTTATTTTACGTCGGCTGGCCTCTGGGATGGGTAAACGATCGAATCCGTAATCCTAACTCGTCGCAGCTCGCGTGAGTCTCGGACACGTTCTGTTTTTCGTTATTTACCCGATAGAGCTCGTGGGAGGGAGGCTTACACATGGCTTACACAGATAGCATCGGTCTCGTGAAAGTAATTCATTTCGATGAGATCTTTGTCACGTGACAAATGATGGTGTCAGGCGAACACGAACCGAGAGCAAAAGGGATGAGAAACAACCCGAGAGTCAGCAGGGAGCAAGAAAAAAAAAACAAAGGAGCATAGAAAAAAATATCCTAGATAGAAAAATCGGTCGGAGACCGTAGGAACCCGATCTGAGCGACCTGATGCTCGTCCACAGCGTGCGGGGGCTGCGGGATGACGTTCACGTACCCGCTGTACTACCGGCTGCACATCTCCGTGTTCCACGATCCGGAGCAGCCGCTCAACATCCGGAAGTACTACTGCAAGGTCTGCGGGGTCGCCGTGCTCGGCAAGGACAACATCATGAAGCACGCCGCCGAGATGCATCACGGCAGGGGGGCCTACCAGTGCCAGTTCTGCAAGAAGGTCGGAGTCGACTCCTCCGTCGATCGTCTGGATTTTTTTTCCCCTCTAATTTCTGTTTCGTTTTTGCAGTTTTTCTTGAGGTTGAGCTACTTGGACATCCACCGGAACTACGGGTGCAAGGAGAATCCTCAGAGGACTCGACCGCTCTGCGACTTTTGCGGCCGGAAATTCTGCCAGCCCCAGAAGCTCAAGGTCCACATCAAACGAATGCACAGCGGTGAGAAAGAATTGTGATAAGAAATAAATACTTTAAAGAATACATATATTAAATAAAACCAATAAATAAAAATAATTAAAATAAAAATTTACATTCACTAGTTTTATTTATTTTATATATTCTCATTATTAAAAAAAAATTAAGGAACGACAAAAAAAAACTTCCCCAATGCCTCGGCATGAATCTGAGAAATCGACTCCCCCCCCTCCCCCTCCCCCCCCTCAGACATGACGGAGGTTCTGCGAGAATTCCAGTGCAAGCACTGCCTGAAGCTCCTCGGCTCCCGCGCCGCCCTCCAGCGGCACATGAAGGAGGTCCACCAGCGGAGCCTGAGCATCGGGGTCTCCTGCGAGCAGTGCGGGAAGACCTTCCAGAACAAGTCCAACCTGAAGATCCACATGCTGACGCACTCGGGGATCAAGCCGTTCAAGTCAGTATTTTATTTTTCCGCTTCCGTCGAATTTATGCGTTGAATCGAGAGTCGTTAGGTCTCGAGGTGAAGCTCAGGGTGTCGAAAAAAAAAAGTTCTTGCCGCAAGATTAGGTTTTTATTGTATTATATTACGTTTTGATGAAAATTGTTGTGGCAAAATGAGAATAGATTAAGCTTTCCATTCTGGAAGATTGCATGAAGATCAATAAACTCTTAAGTTACGAAATTACATTTTTTTTAGATTCCCTGTATAATGCCTTAGTTTCGTGCCTTTTGAGCTGATCTTTCCTCGCCGCTATCTCCTTTGATAACATTCTCAAGGGATGCAGTAGAGGGTCTGCCTTTTTATTTATTTTTTTCTATAAATATTTCATTAAAGCACTATTCCGTTGCCAGCGAATCTTAAAAGGTGAAAAGTATATGCTCTAACAATTTATCCTCAATGGAAAAAATTTTTTACCTTGCGCAGATGCGAGGCGCCAAGCTGCGAATCCGGCTTCACGACGAAGCAATGCCTCCAGTTCCACTACCGCAAGAGCCACGGCTACACAGAAGAGAACATGCCGCCCATCAACCGACTCATTCCCTACACGTTCGACGCCTACTCGGGCGGGAAGATCGTGGATCCGGCGAGGGGGAAGCTCCCGGACCAGGCCGCGGAAGACTCGACGTCCAAGCCCTCGTCCACCATCGACGACTACATCGCCGAGTACTCCGAAGGGGCGAAGCTGCTCACCAAGGCAAGCCGGAAGTGGGTGGGGGAGCAGGAAGACCCGGAAGACGAGGACGGAGACGACGAAGAGGACGAAGAAGAAGAAGAAGAAGACGAAACGCAGAACGCCGCGAGCGACGTCTACGCCTTCAACGACGAAGGCGCGAGAAAAGACTGGCAACCGGAAGACGAAAAGAAGCAGACGGAATCGGAGAACGAACCATCCAGCCCCTGCCACCCGAGTTCCACCGCCCCCGGCATGGAATCCAGCAGTCCCCGAGCCAGAGCGCCCAGCCCGATCGAGAACCAGATCCCCAATCAGCGTAACGAAGCGGTGACCTCCACCACTCAATTGAGCGACGAAAACTGCACACCCGAGAGCAATCCCTCCCCCCAGATGACCTCCTCTCAGGCAGAGGCTCAGAACCTGAGCGTGACCTCCACCCAGCCGTCTCTGGCCAACGACAACGATCAAGAACGGGTCGAGGAACTGCAGCGAGCCCAGTCTCAGGACCCCGTGAATTCCGCTCCCCTCACCCCTCTCAACGGCTTGGACATGTCCTACAAGGTCGCCGAGTACCACCAAGACCACGAACAAGCCCAGCACCAGCAGTACCAACACCGCGAGCAGACCTACCACGAAACCCGTGCCGTCGAAATGCACCACCAAATCGAGAGAAAAGAGATGTCCCTCCAGTCGACTGACCCCCAGACGAGCCTCGCGTTCTCGATGGACCCGAGAAACTTCGGCGGATCGGACGGAACCAGAGGAAACACCGCGGCGACCATGTCGTATCCGTCGTACGAAGAAATGCCGGCACGTCCGTTGAGCGTCCAGCCGACGGGGTCGATGACCCCCACGTTTCAGGGAATGCACGCCACATCGACGGGGTATCATCACACGTTTCCCAGGTCGGATCTACCTCTTCATCGCTACTCCGAGATGGCTCGAAACGGCGCCGCCTCGACCTACGACTTGGACTCTCGACCGGCGAGTCACAGCATGGATCTCTCCACGAATCGCGAATTACCTCGACCGCATTCCAACTTCAGTTACGCCCACCACGCCGACATGCTCCGACACCCCTCCGCTTATCGTTTGGACTCCTTCGGTCACTCCCCTCACCGCAGCATGGACCTATCCCTGTCTCGCGATCAAGGTCAATACCTACACGACACGGGACGAAGCAACCCCATGTTCGGCTACCACACCTCGGAAGCAGCGGCTGCCTCGCGGGTCATGTCCCCGTACACGCGCGGCAGCCACGTGGGCGAGATGATGTCTGCGCATGCGCTCACCTCCCACCTGGATCACGTGACCCGGATGACCAATCAGATGGCGGCGCCTCCGCCGTCCCCATACCAGTCGTATCCCGTTCCCCCTGCCTCCCCCTACCACAGAGCTGCTCCTCCCGCGGGGAATCCTCCTCCCGCTTCTTCCACCGCCTATCATCATTATTCGGGGTATTATTGAACTCGTTTTCGGTGTGGCTCGTTCCAAAAAAAAATTCGCTTCTCGCTCGACGCCTGCAATCGTTTTCCAAGTGTGGATCGACGTACAATCGACCTCGTAGTACAACAGACGTTTGGTTCATTTTATACTTCCAACTTTTTCTTCGTGTATTATGACTCGTTTCTTACGTGCCAAATTCTGGGATGTTGAACCTGAATAAAGTCGATGAGGAATCCATCGAAATGGCGATCGAAACGTTTTCCGCGTCTCTTCGTTAGTTGCCGTCTCTTAAATTCCATTCTAATTCTGGGGACTGCTCGGCAGCAAGCAAGAAGGGCTGAAAAAGGCAGAGATTTTTTTTTTAGGACTGATCACCTGAGGCACGACGCGGCAAGTATCCGAGTTTTGAGTATTCCTTGGAGTAATTCGTGCCAAACTCAGTCTCCTAAGGTTAGATGTTTCATTGATAAGGTCTTAGATGATGTGGTTATAGGCGAGTTTGAGGGATTAACTGGGGTTCCAGAACGATAGGGCATTCAAGGGCTGGTATCGAATCGAGGCGAATCGTATCGTATGGATACCTTTCATAAGCACAGCGAATTGAGACTGGATTAACACGACGGTTTTGCTTGAAGCTAATGCATCGCCTGTTTGCAGAGCAATCGGATTCCCTTGCAATCTCATCTCGATCTTGCGTGTCCGGAATCCAATCGGCCTTTCTCGATATTTCGATATCCATGATCCAGTCCGACCCTGTAGAGTCTCCCAAGTCCTCGCAAATGTCGAAGAATGTAAGACCGAAGGCGATGACGTCACACAGCCAGCCGACCTGCACCTGTTCCCTGCTAAAAGGCAAGGAGCACCCTTAAACCATCCTCGGAACGAAGAAGACGAAGACCCGAACGAACACGGCGACGCCTCCAGCGAAGAACACGCATAATATTCGGCGCATCAAATCGATGCATTTTGGGCATTAAAAAATCTGTCCTTCGTGTGATGCGTTTTAATCACATCAAATTTCGATGCGATTGAAACTCATCACTCGGAAGACCGATTGTTCCAATGGACAATGGAAATTTTCATTGTCAAAACAAATGTGTTGGTCGCCAACAGAAAGGGTCCAATTTTCGATGCATTTCCGTTGACTGTGAATTTCTCCAGTTACCGCGGTTCGGTGGAGAAAATCATGCGTGCATCTGCTTTTAAAAAATGTATTCATCTCATTTTTCACACTCCCGAGGAAAGAAAAATAATCTTTTCTTCGAGTGATTGTTCAAAGGCCATGGAGAAGACTCGATTCTTTTTCCGTTAAAACTGTCAAAAGAAGAACATGCAAAGGCGAAAAATATCACCTCTCCATCTTAAATGGAGAGGCGATTACAGTAATACGAGGCGATGAGTTACGAACATTCAAACGTCAGATGAACCAATTGCGGGAATGCGAGGCGTTTACGCTTATCGCCGATGCACGAGACCAAACAAAAACATGGGAAACCGAACTCGAAAAACGTCGGAAGCGACGACATCAGAATCCCCACGAGACGCAGAGCTACTCGCAATGGCCGGAGGAAAGGCGAAAGGGCGACGAGGCCATATCGGACCATGGACCATGCAATCCCACGCGCTCGAGTCTCAATCCCGAAATCCCTGCATTGTCCCCGATGAAAGGGTCATTCGACACGATCGAGTGGAACACAGAGGTCGACATAGCAACCCCCCCCCCCCCCCATCCCGGTTTTGCAGTCGCCTTTCAGGCGACTCGGCACGGTCGGGAAGAGACTGATGTGAAACGAAATTTCAATTCATGCCTTTTCCTCCTGAAAAAAAAATCGAAATGCGAAAATTGACCAAAGGGCATCATTTCGATTCATCGATTTCTCTGAATGAAGAGAGAGAAAAGACCGGGCAACCCGAAAAAAAGAAGCACGTCGCCCCTACCACCCTCGTTCCACCCGGCATGGAATCCAGCAACCCCCCCCCCCCCAACCGAGCCAGATCCCCGATCGGCCGTAACGAAGCGGTGACGTCGGCGACTCGATCGAGCGACGAAGATTTGGAGTCCCCAAGCACGAAGCGACAGGAATCTGTAGTGGCTTCGTAGATAGGGCCTTCATAGATGAGGCCACAGGCGAATTAGAGGGATCAACTAAGCTTCCAGAACGAAACCGCATTCACGAACCTGGTATCACATCCATTTGCATCGTGTCGCATCCATCTGCATCGTGTCGCATCTATAAGCATCGTGTCGCACCGATGCTCCTCCGAAGCAGAGCGAGATCGAACCTCGAAGAAATCGGATTCCCGCCCAATCTCATCTCGATCTTGCACGGCCGGAATCCGATCGCCTCTTCTCGTCCTTTCTCGATCCTCCGACCCCGTGGAGTCGCTCGAGTCCGTGCAACTGTGGAATCAAATGAGGTGATGACGTCACGGTCCTTCGATCTGCACCTTCCTGCCTGTTAGAAGCAACTCGTCCCTGCAAGAAATTCCATTAGAAAGGTAAGGAGCACCCATAAAAATCCTCACGGCGATCGTAATCCTGCCAAAAAATCTGGCAATCTTACGATTTCGGGGAGAAAAGTCAAGAAATTCCAGAAAGCGAAGAGAAATGACGAAAAGGGCTAGCCGTAGATTGTCTCTGATTTGTGGAAATCTCCGATGATGATTCCAATCCCTTGGAATCGTCTCCGCCTGATCTCTAAAATCTGCCTTGGAAGATTTCAGAGAGGATCGTCCTGAATATTTTACACTGTGACTATCGATCGACTTCGGTTTCTTCCCAGTTTAAAATCCCGATTGGAATTTTCCAGCTGGATTGAAGCTGGTTTCGTTAGCTGTTTTCAGCTGGACTCCAACTGTAAATTCGGACCGATTCCAGCTGGAAGGTAGAGCAAAAATCCGGCTGGATCCACGTTGGTTCCCAACTGGAATTTTCCAGATGGATTGAAGCTGGTTGTGCTTGTCGTTTCCAGCTGGATCCCAACTGTATATTCAGACTGATTCCGACTGAGAAGCAGATGAAAATTCAGACTAAATTTAGCTTTATAAAGAAAACCAAGAGTGTATCAGCTGGTTCCTAGCCGATGGATTTAATTTGAAAGCAGGCGTAATTAATCTGAAATTTTGTCAGACATAGAAGCCATAACTACAGTTTAAAAGTCTATGCACTTTCACGGACCATGTCAATCTGGAAATGGTTTCTGCTTCCCAGGAGTTTCTTATCTGTGTACTTAAATTAGTTGCACATGGATGCAATAATTTCATGGAATCGCTTGAAAAGTTTGAATTTTGCGGTATTGGTGATATGCCAATCAAGCAATGAAACTTGAGATTATAAGCAGTGGCAACTCGTTCGCTCGTTCAAACCGTAGCTCCTATTACTAATCATACATGCGCAATTAGGGCCTCTGCTATTGCTTGCCAAAGCCCTGACATCGAGCTCTTAGGGCAGTGGT